GCCACCGAGCCCGGCCACCAAGTACTTTTAAAAACTAATATTCAGATGGCTATTTCTTGTGTCTCCAAGACTTGCTAATGTAGGCATAAGGATATATAAGCATTTTGACTTCCAAAAAGCATTTGCTTGTTCTTCAATATAATTGCTTTCCCAATAATTGCCAAAAATGAAAAGTTCATGAGACTGAAAAAATATATTTGATATTCTTTTCATAGGCAGTCTACGGGCAGTCAGGTGGTTCTTATCTGAGCAGTGATATCAAGGGCTTGAATAAGTGCAGTGCTGTGATATCTGGAAGAGAGAGAATTGCTGGATGTAAATTTTATCTTTAAATATATGTCTCCAGAGTGTACTTTCTTTCAAGCTTTTAGTATGGTGTATAGAGCCATTTTAATTTTCATAGGATCAAAAAGATTAAATGTATTAAGCTTTAATTATAAAGACACAAGATTAGTTACTGGTTGCGTCTTTAGGGAATAAGAGAGTTTCTGAGAGAGGAAGAGAAAGAGGGAAGAGTTACAACCAAAATCACTGAGACAAAAACGTGTCACCCACAGGACCGGCGGCAAACAGGAGTAGAGCTTAACTGATGTTCAACATTTCCTGGCGAGGTAGACCTATCTCCTGAACCGTTTCAGTACCTAAGCTGATGGCACGATTAGCTTGTTAATACAGCCACAGTTTGACGTTCAGCGCCAGCACTTTCGAGATTCCTTTCCCAGGAAACCAGGCCCCGTCTTCTCTTCTTCCCTCCCTCCCGCCTTCCATGCCTTCCCCATATTTACACACAGGTCACGCACCTTCTTCCGGTGTTTGTTTCCTCAGTGAACCACTCCAGTCACTCCAGCTTCCCCTATGGAGATGCAGCTTCGAGGAGATCTGAAATTCATATTCTGTAAACGGTTTCAGGCCCAGCAGATCATACCTTCCTTTAGCATGTGTGACATTAACCTTGAATCAGATAAGATCTGTTAGGGTGTCTATGAATACGAAATTATTAATGTAAAGAATTTTAACATAGTAATAAAAAAGAGAAAAAGCAGACCATATGACCCTTTTTATTTTTCGGATCTACCATTCAATGAGAAAAAATATCAATGGCTGGGCTACTGAGTACACTGAGTATATTAATCTGAAATAACAGCTTCTCTTTTAAAAAAAAATCACAATAAAACCAAATCTCCTGGGACTGAGAACCCACCTACAGAGGTTCCCAGAGTTGAAAATATGGCCAAAGTTGAAACTGGCCAAAGTTGAAAATATGATTTTCAAAAAGCCTTGGAGAAGTTTCTACACTAGAGATTCTTTTTCATTCGGTTACAAGTAGAAGGTGATGAATGTCTTAGCACAGACATAGGACTGGCCTTCAAAAGAAAACTTTAGTCATACAACTCTTGAGTATCGGCTATGTGTGAAACATCCTTTGTTATTATAAGCCATTGCATTTTACAAAACTCCTGGAAGGAATCATACTTCTATACCTTTTATTGTAAGAACTGTAATGTCGAATATTATATAAAATTTCAGGTCTTTTCTTTGGAATATTTCGTTTTAAATAAATATTTCTCTTTTCAATATGTTCAAAAATGCTAAAAAGTCATAATGAGACAGAGCATAGAATAACAAGGAGAAGTGAATCTTTTACTAGAAATAAACTGTAGAAAATTGAAATTGGCTTATAAAAGTTCATGCTTTAAAAACTTTCATCATTATTCAAGATATTCCTTTTTTTTTTTGAGTCAAGGTCTCGTTCAGTTGCCCAGGCTGGAGTGCAATGGCACAATCATAGCTGACTGCCTCCTGGGCTCAGGCAATCTCTCTGCCTCAGCCTCCTGAGTGGCTGGGACCACAGGCACGCACCACCATGCCCAGATTTTTTTTTTTTTTTTTTTTTGTAGAGATGAGGTTTTGCTCTGCTGTTTGAGCTGGTCTTGAGTTCCTGGGCTCAAGCAATACTCTCACCTCGGCCTCCCAAAGTGCTGGGAGTACAGGCATGAGCCACTGTGCCCAGTCAAGATATTTCTGAATAAATGTCATAACTTTTGGACAGCTCTCAAGTGTGTACTTTTGGGCTAGATATCCTTAAACTCCATACTTTGCTGGTATGAAAAGACAGAGGTCTGCAGCGATACTAAAAACCCCTTCGTGTATTTTCTCCTTCACTCTACAGCCCCTTACCATATTCCAGGACCCGCTATTACTGGGCCGATAACGGAGTTGATTAAGCAGCACCAGGTCCTCGTCTCTCCAGTGAAGGGTACATCTGCTCACGGAAGCATTTTGAAACTCGATTCTAATGTCCCACGGAGGAAGAGGCCTCACTATTAACCAGGACAAACACAAAAGTAGGGTTCAGGATCTGTGATTGGAAATTGCCTTATGCACTGACATGAAGCTATTCAGAAGTGAACAAAACTCAGATGCACAACCACCAAATTTGGTAAAATGTATGAGAGAAATCCCTGACTGGAAGAGAGAAAAGTGATGTTGGATTAACTTCTAAATCATTAAAATAATTCACCTAAATGCAATCTAATTTTGACCAAATAAATACTACCAACATTAGCGTTAAGTGTTGATTTCACTTAATCCAATTATAAACAACAACAACAACAAAATAAAACCAATGTGCCCAATCCAAGGGTTGCAAGGACGGAGAAGCCAGAGGTGGCCAGCGACGATTGTCTCAGGAGAAACGTTGGTAGGAAAATTCACAGCCAGGTTCCAGAGGAACAGAGGAGGAGCAGAGCAGGGAGGAGGGTGGCCTAGAGGCGAGTGGCTGGCGAAGGGGTAGAGGTGGATGAGGAGGGATGTGGAGGGAACGTGGGGGTGACAACGGCTGAGCCTGGCCCTGATTCAACGGGGCCGCATTTGCTCAGAAATGTGCTGGGACTGGCTGGCTCCAGCTCCAGGCTGAGGAGGTAAGTGCTATTTGTGATCCCAGACGCTGTATTGATCACTTGTACCAGCCCTGCAGGCCCCCACGCAGCCCATCTCAGGATGGGGCAAAAGGACGCCTCCTCCAGGCAGGGCCTCCAGGGAGAGGATGCCTCCTCCAGGCAGGGCCTCTGCTGAGCTTCTCCAATGGCCTCACAGAACCCTCCCCTCAGTTGGATAGTGCCACCAACTGCTGGTACTTTCATGGGACTCGTTTCTCTAACAGGGAGCCATCTCTCCGTAGCCCGAGGTTCACCTGCCCTTCTCTTTGCATCGGAGTTACTCCTATCTTTTGCCTGTGCCTGGTGGCCGCTTCCCTTCAACCTCTTTCAAAACAACCATACAAAAAAGAGCTGAATGATTTTACAGCTGCTTATCACGTGCCCATGAGTGACACCTACGGAAGTGAAATGAAATGTACCTATGTCCAAGAATGTGAATGTGGATGGAAAGGAAGAAGCGTTTCCAAGACTGTTGACGGCGGTAACCTTGGCTGTGAGGTTGGATTCCGGTGACTCAGGAGTGAGGCTGTTTCCAAGGTCCAAATGGTCACAATCTTCGCATTCCTTCTGCCAAGTTAAATTGTTCGGCCCACTTAGCCTGTAAACAAACACAACTGTATTTAGCAAGGTAGTGTACATGCTGTTTTCTCCATTCAGTACAAAAGAACAAAATGTTCAAACATTTAACACTCTAAACAGTTTTTAAAAGTCTATATTTTTTAAATCAGGGGATACCCCCACAGGAATATTCGTGTTCTGTGGCCATAAATAGAACAGTACCCCCCCTCCACCGCCACGCATCCCACCCTAGTAGAACTGAGATTTTTTTTTTTAACATCCATATAGACAGGTAGGTGATTGTGCATGCACTGCTGGAGTTCCCCAGGCCCTGGCTGTCACCTCAGTTCCTCAGGCTGTTGCAAACACCATCCAAAGGATCCTGGCCGCCTCGCATCCTTGGCACAAGCAACCCTTCCCAGCACAGCCGTGGCCAGATTAGAATCCTCCCCCCACATCCCCCAATCCCTCCATCTCCTACACTTTAGGCATGGTGCAAATCGGCCAGATCCTTCACGGGAATGTGAAATTCACCCAAGTAACAGAATCTCCCAGATCCCCTGTTTCTGTGAACTCTCAGGTCAGCAAAGGGCACTATAAAGAGAAACTCCTCCAAGTTAATGGAAAACTACTAGGAGGAAGAGTCTACCTATGTGTCATGACACCAAGAGTCTGCAGCTGCAGAGGAGGGAAGGGATACTGTGCTGTCGGTCTGATCCTACTAGGCAGGCAGGAACGCCCAAAACTTGGGCCTACAATACTCGAAGAGGCCTCAGAGTCTCACTCTGTCGCCCAGGCTGGAGTGCAGCCACCGTAGCCTCGATCTGCTGGGCTCTGGCGATCCTTCCACCTCAGCCTTCCAAGTCGCTGGAACCACAGGCGTGCGCCACCATGCCCGGCTAATATTTTGATGTAGTGTAGAGACACGGCCTAGCCAAGTTGCCCAGACTGGTTCTTGAACCCCTGGGCTCAAGAAATCCTCTCGCCTCTGCCTCCCAAAGTGCTGGGATGACAGGCATGAACCACCACACCCGGCAGAACCAATTTTAACTGATGAACATTAGAATTTTTTTTCTAAGTAGTTAATTGTCTAGTGGTATCAGTTGTTTCTTCACTCTGGTAAAAATAAAATGGTTAGATGTTTCTAAATATCTAAGAGAAGATCTATAAAGCAGCTGCAAAAAATATAGCCTCTCACTCACTGTAAAGTGTACTTAGTGCATAGGTGGCTGTCTCGTCCTCTGTCCCAGGTGCAGGTCACAGTCCTTTGTTCTCCCTTCTGTACGCAAGATAAGTTTCGAGGCGGTTCTGGAGCAACTTAAAAAACAAGAAAAGCAAAACTTTGTATCTGAAACATCACAGAAGTAACATTTCAATCACATTGTTATTATCTGCCAGTAACATGACAATATCTCCCCCACATCCTCCAAGCCCAGATAAACTGGAAGCTATCTTCGATTCTGTCAAGCTCAAGTTTGCCTCCAAGGCATGAATTTCTTCTAAAAACAGTAATGACACCGGTGAATATGGATCAACTGCTTACTATACACCCAGCCCGATGCTAAGTGTTTTATATGCAGCTTTTCTCAGTTGGACATCACGGTGCCCCCTGATGTGGATACCGTTATCATCCTCATTTTATGGAAGAAGGAACTAAGACTTAGAGAGTTGAAATATCTTGCCTGAGTTTATAAAATTATAAGGTGGCAGAATCCTGTCTCCTGCCCAGGTGCAGTTGACACAAGTCCAAGGCTCTCAATCCATGTTCTACCATTTCCCCCAATAGGTGAGCATCCAGTGCAAGCTGCATTATTCCTGGTGATAACAGGTTAACTTTCTTTCTTTCTTTCTTTCTTTCTTTCTTTCTTTCTTTCTTTCTTTCTTTCTTTCTTTCTTGCTCTTTCCTTCCTTCCCTCCCTCCCTCCCTCCTTCCTTCCTCTCTCTCTTTCTTTCTTCCTTTTTTCTGTCAGGGTCTCACTCTGTCACCCAGCTGGAGTACAGAGGCACTATCATAGCTCACTGAAGACTCAACCTCCTGGGCTCAGGGGATCCTTCTCCTCAGTCTCCCAAGTAGCAGAGACTACAAGAGCATGCCACCCTGTATAGCTAATTGCTTTGATTCTTTGTAGAGACAAGGTCTCACTACGTTGCCTAGGCTGGTCTCCAACTCCTGGCCTTACATGTTCCTCCTGCTTTGGCCTTCCAAAGTGCTGGGATTATAGGCATGAGCCACCACACAGTCATAGAGGTGTATTTTTTTTTTTAAGTTGGAGTCTCACTCTGTCACCCTGGTTGGAGTGCAGTGGCATGTTCATGGCCACTGCAGCATCGACCTGCTGGGCTTAGGTGATCCTTCCTCCTCAGCCTTCCAAGTAGCTGGAACTATAGGCACACATCACCACGTCTGGCTAATTTTTGTGATTTACTGTAGAGACGAGGTCTCACCAAGTTGCCCAGGCTGGTCTCGAACCCCCGGCCTCAGGCAATCCTCTCACCTTGGCCTTCCAAAGTGCTGGGATTACAGGCTGAGTCACCGCGCCCAGACAGGTGTGTATTTTTAAACGAAGAATTTTTAAAGTTAAAGACAGGGCCTAAATCAGGAATTTCTCAGTTTTAATGGAGGTAAGAGAAATACTGTTATTGTTGATCATCCCATTCTACCCTAATACTGATACCCATTTGTAAAAAGATGCTTCCTTTAGGTGAGATAAAACAAATACACCACAGAAGCCCTAGATATTGTCTGCACTGAAAAAAGCTGTAATTGATGCAATTAAGCTTCTTTCATGTACTCAGCACCGTTCCACAGACACAGGCACGGGACTGTCTACCATATAACCTCAGAGTTTCAGCTGAATCTACAAAGTGGGTACAACAATATCTAGCTCATGTAATTTTAAGAGCATGATAAACTCTTCCTTTCATAGTCTCTTCCTTGAATATATATCTATACATATATCTGTTCATATATACACTTAGATATGTTCATATATGTATACATACAATGTGTACATATGTATATACACACATAACTCATGACTAAGTTATATACGAGGGGGACCCCCCCCCAAGAAACAGAATTATCTTTTTGGGAGTGGGCCTCTTTTAGTATCCTTGGAATTTGTTCCTCTGGATAAAATGGCCAAACAAAGTTTTTCTCTGGAAGCTTTGAGAAGATAGCATCACAATTTGCAGAAGAAACATCCCGAGTTGTGGCAAACAGGTGACTGGTTTTACAACCATGACATGCACCTGCCCACACTGCCTGAGTGTTCGGCAGTTTTTGACCAAAAACAGCATGATCCCTGTGCCTCACCCTCCCTGTTCGCTGGGTCTCGCCCTGAGTGACTTTTTGTTATTTCCCCAGATGAAAAAAGTCCTCAAAGGGAAACACTTTGCCAGTATAGAAGAGGCAAAATAAAACAAAACCCTGCAGGAGTGCTAAAAGGCATCAAAATTGACAAGTTCAAAAATGATTTTGAGCAGTGGAAAAAGCATCTCGATGGGTGTATTGCATCAAACGGAGAGTACTTTGAAGGTGACTGAAGCTTAAACATGTAAGAATAAACATACAATTTCTTATAAATAAATTCCACTTTTGGGGTCTCCCTCCTAGAATACTATTCACTTTCCACTCTGTGCACAACATTTTATCTTGGAATTAGTAGTTGTCTTGCTCGTCAACTTTTTTTGCTTCCTTGTTAATAAAATTCCAAACTCTCCAGCCAGTCATCTGAATCACTGTTCAACACATCTGGATGCTGGGACTCCTGTCAGTTTCACCAGTCTGAGGCCCTCTCTCTAGGTGTGAATGTTCCAGTAAGTCTGGGCCTCCATGCCTGGCACCAGCTGTTGCTCCAGGCCTGCCCCCTCGGTGCCCTGGAAACTCCTGCTCTTTTTTTTAGCTTTTAATTTTAAAGATGTGGGATACAATTCAGGGTTAGGTAGACAGATGTTCATGATGCAAGTATCCCTGCTGATGAGGTGCGCAGCCCCCTTCCCCAGGCAGACTCCCACTACTGCCGATCCCGCTTCCCCGCCCCCCTCCCAACAGTTTCCCGCTACTGCCAATCCCTTTCTTATAGTATTCCGATAATTGTTCAAGATCCGCTTCTGAGTGAGAACATGTGATACTCAGCTCTTTGTTTCTGTGAGAGATCACTCCGTATTATAGACTCTAAATCCATCCAGGTCGCTGTGAAGTTCATGATTTTGGTCTTCTTTATGGTTGCATAGTATTCTATTGTGTATACGTACCACATTTTTTTTTAGCAGTCCTCTTTCAATGCGCAGCATGGTTGGTTCCATGTTCTTGCTCCTGTGAAGTGCTCCTTTTTCCTGCATGAATCTTCTCTTTGTCCCCACTGTTTTGGTTCTTTCCTCTCCTTCTCAGCTTCCTTTCTTTACCACAGGGTCTTGATATGTCATCCAGGCTGAACTCTTGGGCTCAAGCGATTCTCCTGCCGTGGCCTCTCAAATAGCTGGCCTCTCAGGCAGCTGCCACCATGCCCAACTTGTTCCCACCCTGCTGGAGTTTCGCAAAGGTATACTTAGTGAATCTATTTTCATTCTTCCTTCTGCATCCTCAGAGAGTTCACACACTCAGGGGATTCTTGCCCTTTGGTTTGAGAAGCATTCTTAAATTACTTTTCTGATAATTCCCTCCCCTCTGTTTTTTTCTTTCGAAAAGTCCCTATTTTCCATGGGCTGGACCTTCTTTTAATTTCATACATTCTGTTCAAAACTCTTGACCTCTTTGCTCTACTCCTAGGGGGAAACATCCTCAGTTTCTGTTTCTGCCCTCCTCTGGCGTGTTTAATTTCTGGTGATCATTTTTTTTTTAATCGGGGGCCTGTTTTCTCTTTTCCGGCTGCTTCCTTGGGTCCCATCCTGGTTTTACTTTGTACACACATTTTCTTCAGTTCTCCGAGGGCGTCAAGTCAGCTCTTGTGTTTCAACCCTTCTCCTGGAACACACGCCAACCCCTCACGTTGCTCGTGTGCTTCGTTCTTTGTTTGGGGGTCTGCCCTTCGCGCTAGGCCTTGTCCTCAGACCCTGTGTTTTTCCTCACATTCCAGTAGGGGGCGCTCACTCCTCCATCCGGGCTCTGCGCCCGTGCCGGCGGCGGCGTTTGCTGACGCTGGGCGGCGCTCCCGGGTGACCCGGCGCGGCGTGGGGGCAACGCCCGCTGTCGGCCTGTTCAGACGCCTCGTTTGGGCCTTGTCGGGTTTCGCAGGAGGGACCTTCCTGCCTGCCTGGAGCCGGGTCTGGGCCGAAGCGCCAGGGGCGTGGGCGTCCTCCGGCCCCTCTGCTGGTCATGTGCTGCTGTCGCCTCGGCGGAGCACTGTCCCCTCTCCCAGACCCTTGGACGCCCAGCCTCCGGCGATGGCGGGCGGTGGCCCCGTGGCTGGCTCCCCGGGCTGGCGGGGTTCGAGGCTTCCCCCCCGCCTCTGCCTGCGCTCCACGGTGCCCTCGCGCCCGGGAGCCCGAGTGCGTCGCGTCTGGGTCTCTGGTGGAGGGCTTCTGCCTTCAGTCAGCTTGCCACTCGCCTTCCCTCTGGCTTCCCAGGCACCCCCTTTCTCCTCGAGGGTCTGTGCCACGTGAGCACCTTCTTTCCTGCCTTTCAGCTTCCTTTCAAGGGCGATGGAGGTGAATGTAAGTGTTCAATCTACCATCTTTACTCCAAACCCCCTAAGGTCTTCTGAGGAGCAAAGGAGACATAAAATGACCGACACTTTTACACAAGGAAAGAGCTTGTTGGACCCCCGCCTGTATTCCTTCAAGGCCGCCAGAAACTCTCCTTTGAAAGACCACAGCTTTCGCCCACAAATCAGCTTTCCCAATGTGAAGTTTATTTCTGGCTGGGCCATGAAATCAAGGTGTTCTTCAGCTCAGGACCTGGTTGTGGCAGAAACTCTGTCCCGGGAGAAACCGGGCATAATTCCCCTCAATATAAATGTACGGCAGCTGATGCCAAGGAAAGAACACATATTAAAGCCTCAGAAAATTAAATAACTTACTATATAAGACATTATTATGAGTATTATGGTTGTTATTGTTGTTAAAAGCCCTGCTTATTATAGGAAATTAAAAAGTCCTTAAAAAGTCACTTTCAAAAATACCAACAACCTGAGCATAGATCAAAAATGGCCAGACAAAAATCTACTGTCTTTCACTCATTGCTTGATTTTCTGACTGCTCACGGGTCAAGCCTAGGGGAATAAGCTGGTGCCCTGGTACTGGCGCTCAGCTTCTGCACCATGTGGGTGAGCTCTGGGCACCAGAGTGGCCCAGGCATGAGAAGCGTTGGGAAGGAAAGGCTGCTGCCTTTTCCCAGCTCTGAAAAACCAGCCAGTTTCACGGCAGAGCCTCTCAGGATGTGCAATGGGAAAAAGCAGACAGGCTCTTATTCCCCCACCAGATGGGACTGCGCTGACTACACAGGACGAAACTCAAATTCATGGCACCTTTTCTTGGAATGACTGGTCATACTCGAAAAAGGTGTTGCCTTCAGGCGGTCCTTCACCTCAAACGCGCTCAACTTGCTCAAAGAGCTACCACTCGACTGTGTGGCTACCACCGGAGCACGTTGCGTGAGCAACATTCTGGCAGTAAGCACCACCCAGCTCAGCTAAGCCGTGGCAGCCATGCTTCACCATCCCTCTCACTCTTTCAGTGCTGCAAGTTGCACAAAGGCTGGACAGAAAAGTAAAAAGTGAAAAGAGGCCGCAGCCTTCTAATATAGGAGAGCACAGATATAAAATGCAAGCACAGATATAAAATGCAAATTGCTTTCTGTAGGTCGATGAAAGGAAGAATATGCCAGTAGCACTGGGGGCGCCTGGAGCTGGGGTCGCAGGGCTAGAATGTCTCGTGCAAATATATGACACTGGTCTGGTGAGATGGCGAACTGCCTGCATAAAATATCCAGGGCTTCTGAAGGCAAAGGCTAACGATGTTTTTGATGAAAGATTTAATTTTCTCTACAGCCAGTGTCTGTACTTCCTGTAAGGGGTCCAACAGCCACCCAGCATGGGTCATACGAGACAACAAGAACACACTGGACAGAACTGCAACCCCCGTGAACATTGCCTGAATGCCTTTGGTGTGCCCTGTAGGGAACTAAGCACTCAACCATCTTATGGGGTACGTGTGATCTTTATAACACGGGTGGAGAGACCGAGGCTCAGAGGATTTAAACTGTCTAGGGCACACTGCTCGTGGCAGGGTTGAGATTCACAGCACCCCCCCCATGCTACCACACAACAAGCTGTCAAATCTGAAAGTATATACCCTAGGTGGTGGGAACAGGACACCCTAAGCTGGAAGGGGATGACAGGACCTAGTTAACGCCTCCTCCCACTGGTGCTCGGCGTGACCACTTGCTTGGTCTCCTGCTTATGGTGCTGGTGGCCCTCCAAGAAAAACACCTTGTAGGTCGCAGAGAAGAAGTTACTATCTTTCCTGGAAATGGTCTCACTGAGCTCTCTGCCACTGCCTTTATGACAGAGACCCACGTCCTTGCAGCTTGGCCAGCCAGCCTGCCACGGCATTTCTTCCCGGTCTCCCCATGCCTCTTGACTGCCACCCCAGACCTTCCCTGGAACCACTGAGGCACGGTATGCTGTGGGATCCCTCAGGGACCATGCAGGCTCACTGGCTTTGTGCTGTTGATTCACCCTGCGTGCGGCAGTTTATACCCCAGGTGTGCTGCCGGTTCACCTGTGCATGGTGGCTCTGCACACTGCAGATGCCAACCCTGCCACCTTTGTTCTTAGTCCCCAGCAGTGGCCTCGAGGACCTAGCAGTGCAGGCCAGCGGTGTGGGGGACGCAGTGCCCTACTGGGTGGACTTGGGCCAGTGGGAGGCAGTTAGAGTCTCCTTTCCTTGCCCTGCCATGGGAGTCTCACATGCTCTTTCTGGGAATGCTCCTAAGTGAACAAGCAACCAGTTGCAATTTCTGTTGGAGCTGTGGCTAGCTCAGTAAAGTCACCACCTTGTATTCACTTTTGCCACTTTCTCTTGCCTCCCTCTGTGAAGTGTGAGCATGTCAGTTTTGCTGCAGGCAGTTTTCTAGAGAACCCAGGAAAAGATCAGAAGCATAGTCAGTGTATTCTTTTAACCTCTGCTAAGTAGTCTGGGGTAAATGTGGATGGAAGAATGACTTTTTTAGGTGTTTAGGGATGGGGGAAGGTGCTGCTCAGTCTTGTGTAAGTCGTCTTGGGATACATACTTTGAAAAAGACATCTTGGCCAGGCGCGGTACCTCGTGCCTATAATCCCAGCACTTTGGGAGACTAAGATGGGAGGCCTGCTTGAGTCCAGAAGTTTGAGATCAGCCTGGGCAACATAGTGAGACCTCGTCTCTTCAACAAGTTAAAAAATTAGCCAGGCGTAGTATGCATGTCTGTAGTCCAAGCTACTTAGGAGGCTGAGGTGGAAGGACCGCCTGAGCCCAGGAGGTTGAGGCTGTGATGAACCATGATCATGCCACTGTACTCCAGCCTGGGCAACAGAGTGAGACCCCACACACACACACTCCAAAAAAAGAAAAGAAAAGAAAAAAACATTTCTTCTTTTTAGAAGGTTGTAGCTTTGAAAAAGTTCTCGTAAGTCAAAAAGGCATGAAGACCCAGATGCAGAGATCCATTTCCCTGCCATTGGAGTCCAAGGACAGCAAGGAAATGGTTGTAGTGTGTGTGTGTGTGTGTGTGTGTGTGTGTGTGTGTGTGTGTGTGTGTGTGTCAGAGAGAGAGAGAGAGACTCTAGGTAAAACCCAAGTTCTATTAAGTTCTGGACTTCTCACACTGAGATGCCCATGTGGCTGTCAATATAAATACCGTATGTGGTGGGAAAAGAAAGCATGAACCCGCACTGGGGCTTCTGCCCACCACATGATACAAGCCCCAAGATCGCTAGTTCCTGCACATTCAGAATGGAATGCTCACCACCAACTGCGATTTCTGCTCCACATACTGGAATCTCTCCGCTGTTGGGGCAGTCCACTTTGCAGATGAACAGGGTTGTACCGAGAGGAAGACCGGTGACTTGAGAATGGAGGGAAGGACCGTGGTGAGAATCGATTTTTCTGTTGAACTTGTAGAGGTTTAACTTGTTGAAACTGGAATAGTGCGAGCAGCCATGTTTGGGCTTCAAAGAGCAGGAAATGTTGATGGCGGATCCAAATGGAACAACGCGGGAAGGCTGCACAGTCACATGTCCCCTCTTGCACACATCTGCAGTAAGACACGGAGGCCACACTCAGTGGGCGGTAATCACCATTTGGATATGGAGGGCGTGGGGGAGTCCCCAAAGCAGGGGAAGATCAGGCCCCCCCACCAGGGTCATGGAAACCCAAATGACCGGCCTGCTCTGGCTACGGCCGGGCGGCACAGTGAGAGCCGGAGGCAAGCATGCTGGGCTCCACCTCATCTAAATGAAAGCACGCGTCCTGCTCATCACGGTCACGCTACAACCAGAACTTGAACTTGGAAAGCAGCGAGGACGCGGGGTGGGAAGGATGTGCAGGGACACAGTTCCAGGAAGAAACCAGCCTCCCTTCTGCGCAAATTATTCAGCAGACTACTGAAGAGGACCGCCCAGAATAAACCACACTTGTTCCCTTCACCATTTATAATTCATCATGCTCACTTCAATACGTACCAAGAAAAAAGAAAAGACCGTCTTAAAAGAATATTGCAAATTTTAGGGGCATTCTGAGGAACAACTCCTTGTCTTGCTGTACTGCTGGTGTAAAGTATGTGTCATCTGCAATGTTATTATTATTATTTGTGTGTGTGTGAGTTAGAGTCTCACTCTGTTGCCCAGGCCGGAGTGCAGTGGCAGGCTCCCAGCCACCCCAGCGTCAACCTGCTGGGCTCTGGCAATCCTTGCGCCTCAGTCTTCCAAGTAGCCGAAACTACAGGTGCACACTACCATGCCCGGCTCTTTTTTATTTTATTGTAGAGATGAGGTCTCGCCAAGTTGCCCGGGCTCGAACCTGTAGGCTCAGGCAATCTACACGCCTCGGCCTCCCAAAGTGCCGGGATGACAGGCTGAGACACTGAGCCTGGCATGCAATGCTATTTTAAAACAAAGAAAAAATATTAAAAGGCTTCAGGTGTGTTTGGCTGAAGGATGGAAATTCGGTCTTATCCTGCCATGTTTTAGTATCCCTTTAAGATGCAAAACCCTGAGCTGGATAAACCATTACCTGATGTGGCAAATAAGAAATTATGAGACTGTATTCCTCCTTTTATAAGAGTTCTCTGTATTTTTTACCATATGCCAAATGTCACAAGAAACTATTGTGGAAGAGAGGCCATTTGCTGCTCTCCAGATGGCTTCATATTAATAAATACCACACCTATGCAGAAATGTACACTTGGTGCTCAGCGGTTGTTGACAGAAGAATCTCGGAAATACAGATTCACTCTGAATTCTCAGACATGTTGGAAACCTCCACTGAGCATCTTTGCTGGGTAATTGTAAGATTTCTTGGATTGACAATCACAAACAGGAACTGGTCTAAAAAAACGTTATTTAAATCAGATAATGGAAATACTGAAAACTCATCTGAAATAGAAAGTTATTTTTATCTCCAAAACTAAAATGAATTATCTCTCCTTCTGTCTTATCTTACTTCTATGTTTATGCTCTGCTTCTTTGATCCTAATGGGCCAGAAAGCCAAAAACACGTACTCAATAAAAAAGAAAAAAAAGTCAGCTGTTTTTTTGCTTTTTTTTTTTTTAGCATAGCTAAATTCACCTATGAATACCCCTCTGTTAAAATGTGCTGAAATGTAACACAATGTATTTGTGATGCATAGCTGGGTTTCTTAGGTCACTTTCTTAAGAGGAAATGAAATGGTTGGACCCTTATATTAGTCATTAGTATAATTTAATAAACACATAATAGATACAGATATGGAGCCAGACTTATCCACTGAAATGACAGAAGAGTGACTATACAAGACCAACTACCAGCACATTTACCACAAATGCATAGCTAATCCTTAATTGAGAATTTAAACCACCAGTCCTTCCACAGAGTAGCATACAGAAAACATCTTACCTATTTCTGCTTTAATCAACAGCCACATGATTATAAAAATAAGTGCCAATGGGCATCTTTTAACGGTATGTGCCATGAACTCTGGAATACAGCTCGGTACTTGTCCTTGTAAAAGAAGACAAATTCATTCATGTTAAAAGCATTCAGAAAATGTTAGAACCAAAAACCTCCAGAAGAGCTTGAAAGTGGCACTTAATTTTCCCCCCACATTGTTAAGATTTTGTTTGTTATTTAAAAAAAATAAAGCACACCTTGAAAACTAGTAAATTGAAAATTTTAGCCACTTTCTACACACCCCCCCTCACCCAGTGAAGTTTCCTGGGGTCAGCAAAGGGTTGGAGAAAGAAATTGGGTGTCCCAGTCCATCTGGGCTGCTGTATCAAAATATCAGAGACTAGGTGGCCTATAAACAACAGAAATGTATTTCTCACAGCTCTGGAAGCTGGGAAGTCCAAGACTGGGGTGCAGGCAGATGTGGTATCCCGTGAGGGCCTGCTTCCCAGTTCACAGATGATGACTTCTTGCCGTGTCTTCATGGGGAAGGGGCAAGGCATCCGTCCCATTCTGCCCTCACAGCCTAATCTCCTTCCAAGGCCTCACCTCCTGCGAGTTCAGATTTAGCACGAGTTTGGAGGAGGGATCATGCATATTCAGACCATAACGATGGGCTTCTTTTTAGGGTCCTTAGAACTGGGCTTAAATACTTTGAGTTACTTAACCTGTCTGAGCCTTAGTTGCACACAAAACTTTTTTTCTTCCAAACAAGGCTACATCACTATATCATAGAGAGTAGTCTGACTTAATAGAGTTTTTGTTCTAGTCATGTGCTCCTGGAAATCAGTCCATTTAAAAATGGCTCATCATCCTTCTGGAACGTAGTAAAAGATTGGTCTCTTTGGCAGTAAGATGAGAATTCCAAGGGTTTTTTCAGTTTTCTGTAGAAGATCAATCTTACTTGTTTATTAATGACTTAATTATTTTACGGATTGATTTTATCTTGAATTGTTCAGAAAATATAAGCTGACGATGTCTGCTCTGTTTCAAATTTAAACCTAAGGAATGGCTTTCTGAGTCATTAGCAAATTCTCTAAGTTCTATGAAAGGTGGGCCCAAAATGTGTAAAGTAGGCTGGGAATTTCAGTGCTGCAAGGCCATTGGCACGGAACCAATGCAAAGCAAACGTTGCCCTCTTATCCCTGGGATATCTGGAAATGTGCCAGAAGGTGTTGAAGAGCTTCAGAAAATTGCACTCAGTCATTCAGTACGATGGCTCCCTTTCACGGCGAGGCACAGCACGAGGCCCCGGAGACTCAGCAGTCCTGTTCTGGTGTGCTCTAGCAAAGGGCCCCTTTGACTCCTAGCCCCAGCCTCATCACTGTGGGGAGCCCTAAAGGATATTAGCATCTCATTGGTCTTTCTTTTTTATTTGATTATTATTGTTTTTTATTTTAAAGATGTGGGATACAGTTCAGGGTTAGGTATACAAACATTCATTATGCACTTACCCTTGTTGATGAGGTGTGCCCCCCACCCCTGGCGGATCCCCACTACTGCCAATCCTTTTCTTATAGTATTATGATAATTGTTCAAGCTCCGCTCATAAGTGAGAACACATCTCATTAGTCTTTGCCGCTGCTGTTTCTCCTCCTCTTGACTTTTACCTCTTGGAGGACCTTGGCACACTCAAGGTATGACCTTTTCTCTATCTCTGCTTTCTCCCTTGGGTGCCTCATCTGGTCGTAGGGCTCTAGACATGTCTGCAAGCAAGAGATCCTCAGGTGTAGATCTGCAATGCAGACATCTCCCTGAGCGACCATCTCGTATGTCTCTCTCCTGGGCATCACCCCCACCCGGAAGTCTAACGAACTTCTCAGTGTTGACACATTCAGTGAATTCTTGGCCCTCCCTTCTCCAAACTGAGCCATCCTCCAACCTTTTCCGACTCAGTGAATGGCATTCTGACCCCTGCATTGCTGGAAACCCTAGATGTCACCCTTGATTCTACGCTCTTTCTCGTCCCCTACAGTTAACCCATCACTGGTCCTGTCAACTGTACTTCCTCCAAAATGGGTCACAGAACAAACCACTTCCCTCCATTTCTACTGTCCTCACCCTAGTCCAGACCCAGCACTGTCATCTCTCCCCCCATCAAGAGCAACCCCTCAACAAGTCTTTCCAATCCATCCCTACCCTGTCTTTTTCACAAAGCTAACTCCTTTTACAAATGTGAAACAGGTCCCATTCCCCACTGCACACCACCACCACTTAAACCCTCCAGCAGGTCTCCATTGTTGTTGGAAAAAACCCCAAAGTCCCGACCACCCACGGTCTTCCAGACCCTGCAGGGCCTCACTCCTCCCCTGGCCACACTCATTTACAGGACTTCTGTGCCTGGCTCCTTCTGTTCCATCCACCCCAACCTTCAGACTGTTCTTTGACAACACCCCCCATTTGTTGCCGGGGAATCTTACACTTGCCATGTGAGAATCCTCTTTCCCTACTCCTCGGTGTGGCTGATGTACTGGCGTCTTTCAGATTTGGGCTTGTGTCACTTCCCCGAGAGCCACTCCCTGACCCCCTATCCCTCTCCCTCCCAGGCCTCCCCGGCCACCTCCCCCCTCCCTCCCAGGCCTGCTGACCACCTACGCTTCTCTCTCCCAGGCCTCTCTGACCACCTCCCAGGCCGGCTGACCACCTCCTGTACCCTCCCAGTCCTCCTTGACCACCTACTCCCCCCGTCCCGGGCCTGCTGACCACCTCCCCCTTCCCTCCCAGGACTCCCTGGCCACCTCCAGCCATCTCTCCCAGGCTTCCCTCACCACCTACCCTCTCCCTCCCAGGCCTCCCTGCCACCTATTCCTTCCTTCCCAGGCCTCCCTACAAAGCAGTCTTCCCCAGTTCATTTCTACTCATCATCTTAGTTATTGTCTTGAGGGCACAATCTGTAACTACTTTATTTTTTTGTACTGATTACTTGTTTGTCATCTGTCCTCTATGCAGGAACATAAGCCTCCATGAGAGCAGAGACATTGAACCTTGCTCACGGCTATACACCAGCACTACACACCGGGAAAGAGTCAGTACTCAACAAGCTTCTACCAGTAGAAAGAAGGGAGGGAGGGAAGGGAATATGATATGAGCTTCAGGAAACTCCCTGTAAACATCCCTGTGGTAGGCAGAATAACGGTCCTCCGAAGATGTCTATGCCCTTGTTCCCAGAACGGTGAATATGTTTCCTTACAGGGCAAAGGGACTCTGGCAATGTGATTAAAGTTAAGGACCCTGGGATGGGACGATGACCCTGGATATACCCAGCAGGCCTTATCTAATCACACGATTCCTTAAACGTGTAAAAACAAGGTGGAAGAGTTGGTTTGAGAGGTATGGCGTGCGAATGACTCACCCTGCCGCTGCTGGCTTTGACGTGGAGGAAGGGGCCGTGAGCCAATGAGTATGACAGCCTCTGCAAGCGGGGAATGGGTCTCGGTTATAGGTGACGTAAAATATACGTCTCGTGGGTCTTGGTTATAATGTTCGAGAAGCACAGGCCCAAGCCAGACCTGCAGGTCTCCTCCTCTCTAAACCAAGAAATCCAAGGTGGTGGCATGCGATGGCCTCTGAGAGCTGGGTCTTGTCTTATCGTCAGCCATGCCCACCCGCGCCCCCAGTGCCGTGCTGTCCAGGATACTGAGTTGCTTGTAACCCCATACACTCATGTGGATGTATGTGTGTATGTCTTCTGTGCTCTTCTCGTCACTTCACCACTGTTAGACTGGCCGAGTCACGTCCATCCATCCAAGCTCAGCACGGCACCTTTCCTACCTTTTCCCTAACTATGTCTCGAGCAGCTGCTAAGTGGCAGGAGCTTGGGACACCATGGAGAACAGGACAGACGGGGCTGTGGCTCTCATGGAACCAACATTCCGGGGTGGGGAGGCAGAAAACGAAGAAATAGGTAACAGACCAATACGTTCAGAAAAGATAAAAGAAGACCCAGAAGAGGAGAGAAAAATTGGGGCGGAGAGAAGCTGGTCAACAGGAGCATTTCCAGGAGGCGAGGCTGGCGCCGAGTGAAGATTCCAGAACTTCTGACCAAGAACATGGTGAGTGTATAGCCTGGAGGCAGAGGAACAGCTCGTTGGGGCTGAGGCACAGAAGCAAGGTCAGGGTGGCTGGGGAGGATGGCAGGGAGTGACACTGAGAGGAAGGCCAGAGCCGGGTCTGCCGTGGACTTGCTCGCCAAGAAAGGGAGCCGAGACTTTGCTCTCAAATTTACAGAAAACACTGGGGGTTAATTGGGAGTTTTTCTTGTTTATTGAATTGTTTTCATCTGGGGTGTTACGAGATATGAGTTACATCACACACACACACACACACACACACACACACACACACACACACACACACACACACTCACATACACTCTAACCAAAATGGAAGTGCAGACCAGGGAGGATGCCATTGCAGAGACCCCGGTGGGATGATGGTGGCCGCTCCTTTGTGGCAGCAACAGAGACGGAGGGTGTCGGCTCACAGGGATCCTTCCTGACATCTGCAGGTCAGACCAAGTCCTCCTTCCGGGACCCTCAAGCACCGCGACCCCTCCCTGTCTCAGGACCTGCCGTAATCTATTTCAGTATCTGCTTGTCTCCTCCATCACCTGCAAGCGCCTCTGAGCAGAGGCCACCATCTGTGGCACACAGGACGCATGTGCTGTCCGAGCGAGACCTAAGTGGTTTTCCTGTGTCCGTCTCTCTTACTTCCAGTTTGTTTAATGTAACTGCATTGAAGCTATGTACATTAAACGTTATTCTGCTGCCTTGGGGCTGGAATAATTGAGTTTTGTTATATGAGTGCAGGGTTAAATAAAAGGCGCTATTTCAGCATAGAGACTATTGAGTTAAAGGCACCTGAAAACAGCAGGCACAAGAAGATCACTTTGACCTTTGTGCTGTTTCCTTCTTCACTTTCTTTTTTGAGTTGAGGTCTCACTCTGTCGCCCAGACTGGAGTGCAGAGGCACCATCACGGTTACCACAACCTCAACATCCTGGACTCAGGTGATCCTCCTGCCTCA